TTTGGCCCATATTGTCTGCTTCTGTTGATCCAGACATAGGCAGTGTGCTTTCCAGTAAACATCAAAGGAACCTTCTCCTTGAAAAAAGCCATTAAATGTCAAGGAATACTTGAGCTCTCGCTCACAACAAATGATTCAGCAGTGCTGTATAATGACTGCGATCTGACTATGTTTGGATTTCTGAGAGAAACACTTGCTGATGCCTTATAATAAAACCCAAAAAACATAACAAAAACAAAAGCTATTTGCACTTGCAGCTGAAGGTCACAGGAAAGACGGGTGTCAAATCAAACGCGCAGGTTAATGCTTGTGTACAGAAACAGGAAATGTGAGTGCTTTGTGGTTGTAATTGCACGCTGTCACACATCAATCACAAGCCTTTCTTATAGCCATTTCAGCTGTCCACATCAAGTAAAATTATTTCATACTCACAAAGAAATCTGCACATGCTCTCTGCAGTAGTTTAACTTTGTGACTGGGGTTCTTAACCGCAGAGTGCTGCTGCTTAACCTGCTCCTGGAAAGAGCTGAGCTGAAGCGTCCTTTAATTTTTAACATCCTTCTCCACGGTGTCCTGTGCTGAACTGATACTAGGGTAGCTGTGAGCCAACCACTCCGAGCTAGACCTGGGGCTCTGACACCACAGCACCCTCCATGACCCACCCCTGACTCCACCCGAGGGCAACTGCTGTGTCCCACAGAGGGAAGTCCTGCTGCTTAATTTGGCAAATCAGAACTGTAGTAAAACTGGAGTGGAAGCAGAAAGAGCAGCACTTCCCCCCCTGAAAATAATATGACTAAATGCAGATAAGCTGTTTGCAGATGTGGATTGTTTACTGGATTTGGTGCTGATTTTCTCATAGTCCGAATAGAAAGTCTTTAAAAGGCCATGCCAGGCAGCATAGCTTTAAACAAGGATCAAAAGTAAAACGATTCAGTTGATGAACAGCAACTATTTCCATCTTTGACTCTGGTTCAGCTTTTCCACTCACACGACTCCTGGATGCTATCAGCATCTGAGCTGAGATAAAGTCTTTTAATTAACTCTCTCACTAAATGTAATTAAGCTGTCTGGAACTGTGTATAATGCAAACTGTAGGCTCTAGCATTTTGGGCAGTGAGTGGGCATTTCCTGGTACACTTTTTTTTTTGGAAATGTGCCTTTTATAAATCTCAACTCTGTGGATGTATCCCAGCAAATTCATCATCAGGCATCAAAAACATTAAGGTTTGTAATATTTGTTATCACAGACGCCACACAGAGCCTGTAGTGATGGGAGTCAGCTAAAAACACACATGTGCATGCACACAGCAGCTTTCACACAGCAAGCAGGGAAAAGTTGGAAACTCACTTGTAGCTCACTGAGATTGGCCATCATGCCAGCGACAAATGAGATGACTTCTGCTACCGTTTGTCTTACTTTACAGCCCTCGGATCATTGCGGCACCAGTGGCTAAATGCAAAGAGTCCAACGTTGGAAGTCCTGTAAAAATAATAATAAGTTTAAAAAAAATAATCCGAGTAAAGGCGCAGTCTGATGTGGGGAAGGTGGGTGAATAAAATGCTAACATGGTAACGTCTGGAAAAACGATAGAGAAGCAGGTGGACAGTGGAGAGAGGGGCAGACTATCACCTCCTGGTAGCAGGACGTTAACTCTCGGACTCCGGGCTGCATCACGCAAACAGTGCGGGCTGTCCTGGAGTAGTGTGAGGGCGAGCGCTGCTGCGGGGATCCTTCTCATCGTCAGGGGAGGAAAGCCCTGTGAGGAAACCCAACACCCGCCAGGATTCACTGAAACACCCAGCTCTGCTGCCTGCAGCAATCAGAGGCCATCTTCTCCCCGAAGCGATGCGCTCCGGCTCGGCTCTGCGGGAAGCTGGGAGCCGGTTACTGTTGCTGCTGGGTAGGGAACACAAGCGCTGAAGGAATACAGAGAATATAAAAATGGGACTTCCTGCTTTGACCTTCAAAATAAAATACGCATCGGCGATAACACGCACAGTGCACTGAATGCAAAAGAAATTTGGTTCTTACAAAACTTTAGGTTAAAATAATTATGTGGAGACTTTCTATAGCTGCCACACTCACAGTGATATTTGTATAGAAACTAGAGCATACGCACAGAAGCATTTTTAAACCATTAAAACAAGCGTTTATTTATTTTTAACCAACTTACCACAGAACAGGAAGTCGTCTTAGTACATGGGGAGAATGAATAGTACACATAACAGACCAGTCACACAGGACAGACAGTACTGCATTAAACACTAATGCTGTGCTATACTGCTATTTGTGGTACAGATCTGACACCAAGTAAATAAATAGTTAACACAATAAAATACACCGTTCAGCTTACTGTGTATTTTAAAAACCTGGTATGTTTGTCTCTAAAACACTTAACCTTTCTGCTCCAGGCTATAAATAAAATAGAGGTGACAGTCAACACAAAAAGGTTCAGACATTTTTCACAGTGCGAGTTTAAGTTTTTTTTTTTTCATTTCCAAAAATAAATGTATTCAACATAATCCAGTGGGCCACATACCGAAGTTAGAGGATAGAGACAAAGTATCGATCCTACTACGCTACTATCAATCCGATACCATTACCAGCGCTGATACCAATACTATCAATATTTGGATCGATTCTCCCACTTCTATTAATCAAAGCGGCATAAACACACTAAAGATGAGATATCACCGTTTGAGCTCTTGTGAGAGCATACGTCATTTATTTCGAATTGTATGTCCCAGCAGTTAATAAATAATCCCCCCATCAAACGCTTTAATTTGGCAGCGAAGTCGTGTGGGATTTTATTTTGAAACCAACACAGCCTGGATCTGCTGTTATTGCGGATTTCTTTGGTCAGCTTGACGCAGCTGGAAAGAGGCGCAGACCGTTGCGGCAGCCGAGCGCCCTCCTGCTTTCATGTGAGACCTGTTGATCACATTTGAACGCATCACCGTGCTAACCTGGTTGTAGGAACACTAAACTTCATACAGTCAGTGTGTGACTGTATGAAGTTTGGATCTGTTGAATTTGTGCACTGCAGCTTACTGTGTAGGTCTGAGTTAAAATAAACTGATGATGTCTCTTCTTCTTATAAAATCAGTGTAATGGCCCTTTAAGCTGCTATAAAGGAACTATCAGTTCATTTATGTTTATTTATGTATTACCAGTGCATTGCATTCCTTCTCTTCTACAGGATCAAACAGCTCCTGGTGCCATTGCCAAGTCATGCCAGAGGGGAAGACTGGGCTGCTTACCCTGAACACTACAGCTGTAGATGAATGATGAATTGCGAATTTGATGTCACTGCAGCAACAATATGGCCACTGTGCAGCCAAATCTCCTCACTCAACACAGAAGGAAGAAAAACTTTGAACCTCTTTCTTATTCATGCATTACATTATTATGAATGAACCACAATGCACATTTTGTGAGTGAACATTTTTAATCAGGTACCCAAAGAGTGCAGTTTTGTATATATGCCGCTTTTTATTTAGGACCGACTCTAAGCCTTTAACCAGGCCAGCGTGGTTTTTTATTATTTATGCTGTTCTGTGTGTTTTTCTGCCATGTCAAGCTATGCTGTCAGCTCTCAGAGAATAATGTGACCTCTGACCCTGCATGCTAAACGATGTTGAACTAGAAAAATTGTAGAGGGTGAAGGCAACAGGGATCCTTGTGGTAATCGTCACTCGTGGATCATTATGTCCATATTGTCCTCTGTATCTCACTATATTGTCACATACCTGACACAGACGTTGTTAAGGTTAGTTGATGTGTGAGCCACCACAGCTTATGTTACACACTGTAGCTCATGTTGTGAGGTAGACTTGCTGAATTCAAACCTCGACCTGTTGTTCCAAAGATGCCACTACACCATCCAGCTATGTGTGACATGGTTACTCATTGTGTCATTTCGTATACTTTCAGAAACCGCTTATGTCATATTAACGGCAGGCATCCTAGAAAAGAGATCACTCCCATCAGGATGCGAAATGGGTCCAAACTATACCAGGAAAACAAAACTCCTATTAAAAAGATAGCAAATATAGTTATTTCTGTTTAGAAGTTAATGAGGTCGTACTGTATGTATTTATTGACATGTTAATCTGCAAACTTACTGAACTTTAGATATGTAGTGAAAAAAAGTGTGATTTTGCATCTGAAATGTAGCTGAGTAGAGGCAACATTTAAAATAGAATGGAAACAACTTTAAAGAACTACAAACTATAAAAGGGTTTGATGACACAGCGAGTTAACTCACCTCGGTCTAACAAACCCAACAGACGGCTGAGGGAGACATACAGGGTGAGTGCAGACTGTATACACCCACACTGTCTTTGTGGATGGATTATGGCTGAGCTCAGAGTGCAGGAGTAGAAATGGATTTTATTTGTGATACAGATTTCTGTATGAACAGACAACTGGTGATATTTGGACCTGGGATTTTTATGAAAAACAATATTTTCCACTAAGCAGTGCTATCATATGTGTAATATGTGCCATCTACAGTGTACACACAGTCTTCAGGTACTGGGTTGGACTCCCTTTTGTTTTCAGAAACACTTCAATACTTCACAGCACAGATTTGTCTGTTGCACTTCCGTGATGTTCCACCTCATCCCAAAGATGCTCCATTGGATTGAGATCTGGTGGCTGTGGAGACTTGTTGTGTTCAAGAAACCAGTTTATGGCGATTTTAGCTTCGTTACACTGTGGTCATAAGAGATGGGCATGGTCAAAAACAATACTCAGTTAGGCTGCAGTGTTTAAACAATGCTTAAATGAAGAAAGCAGCTGGTGAGTGTACATTGAGTTAACCCCTCATTGGTTACCGTAACCCCGAGCAAAGGTCCTCTTCTCTTCTGTATGAAAATAATCAGTCTCTGTGTTTTTGAGTAGCTGCTTCTCATTTACATCTCTTTTTAAATTGTTTTTCAAATGACATGAATTTTAAAACAAGACTATAACCAATTGTTTTAAAGCAGTTTTATTTAATATTGAAAGCATAAAAGTTTTGACATTTTATACTTTAAAATGATCTGGAACACTGGCACAACAAAGAAAGCTTCTCCAGTACTAAAGAAGAGGATGACGATCACTCGCACACTGAATATCAAAATACTGAGAATGTAAACAGCAATTTTGTATAGATTCATATGAAATTCAATAGCAAAGGTACACAAAAATATCTGTGTAAAGTGGCTTGAGGCGGAGTAGACTGTACTTTGACAATAAAGGTGCACATATAAGTCTACTCTAATCACACATGCACTAGTTACGCTTGCTCGTATGTTGATCTTTTCAGAAAAAAACAAACTCTTAATGATATGATAGAAAGCAGCATACAACAGCAGAGGCCACACAACACATGCATAGTCCAGCTGTAGTACAAATATTTTTGGAAAACTATATTCTGTATGCACTTTGAAATATAATCTGCTTTTTACAATATTCATTTAGGAGACTTCAGACTCATATAAACGGGCACTTTGCTTACAGTAGCAGTAGATAAAGGAAAAGCCCATTAGCTATAATGATGTCACTGCAAGAGATTCACAGGCTGTGTAAGTGGAAGAATGGGTCAGTGTGTCACATGTGCTGCCAACAGGTGGCGGTGTTTCTTCACTTCGATCATCCCAGACAGACATCACCTACCTTGTGCAGACACAAAGAGAAACACAGGTGCTTTTTTTTCTTCACTCAACACATTTAAATATCAGACAGGCTGCCATGTTCTCATTACCTGACTGATACAAATAAACACCTCTTTTAAAAAATATGATAACAAAGGGAAACATATAGAAACTCTTCACAGACTATATTAATATACTTAATAAAAGAAATATAGAGGTTGGTACTTGGACTGCCCTCCACCCTCCACTCCCCACAGCCTCAGAGTGGGTGCATTGTCTCATCTCCGCATCTCCTCTTCTTCTCCCCCCACCATGATGTCATCTGTAACCTCGGCGACTCCCTGAACACTGGGCGACCCAGGAAATGAGGTTATAACTTCGGAATGTGTGAGGGAGGACAACTCTCCCCCCTGCCAACCAGCCCTGCACCCTTGTACGCCTTCCCTCACCCCTCACAGCAGAACAAGGAGCGCCCTTCTTCTCCTTAACGCCTCCCTCTTCCTCCGTGACTGACAGCTCTATTAAGTCCATGAAAACCTGCTTGTCCAGTATAGTCACAGTAACACTCAGCAGAGACTGGTGTTTGTAGGGGGACACAATACACCGATTTAGGTATTTCACTATGGGGATTTGGGGGGGATGTAAAAGCCCAGAAAAAAATAATCATCTATCAACAGTACTGGCTATGTAACACAACACTACTTACCTGTATAAATACTTTGGCAAAGACCATAACAGCGAATAAACAACGGTAGAAAACCAGTGCAATTTGTCATAGCTCAGTCTCTCGTTTGAGAGCGCGACCAGTGTTTGGTCTAGATACAAAAGAGACAACAACGTGGAGCGCTGCACCCACACGACACAAGAGACAACAGGGCTGCTAAAGTAGATCCAGCGCATTTCAGAGTAAGACAGCTGAGGACAGATGTTAAGTGCTTCTGGTAAGGAGAACATGCTCTAATGTGAGGCGACGGTATGACAGAATGCATGTCTGGGTTACAGTAATCAATTACATGGGGTCATCTACAGTGAATATGTTCTACTACAAGTAATCTGTTGAAGACCAGGTTGGTATGGTCTTATGGTTAAATCAAGTATCCGGCTTATCCGTAAAATTCTCGTATGGCTTCAGTAACGATGGCACATTAAAATAAGCAGATCAGATCTGTGAGAGGAGTTCAGTCGTATGATGCACGCTGCTCATGAATAACAGCGTGAGATTTTGGCACAGCATTAGATGAGTAGATCAATATCACCCTTTTGGCTCTGGTGTGTGGCTGTATGTAGAAAATGCTTCCTGCAGCTCTCCTATTTGTGTTCCAAGGCCCTCCCATCGGTGAACCTCATCACATGAACTCAGAGCCTCCAGAAATCCACACCAAATCCTGGTGTCAGCAGTTCACCACACAGGAGGGGACCGTTTAACCCCATCAAATAAAAGGTCAGTTGTCGTCTTTGTGCTTTGCTTCCATACAGATTTATTTGTGAGCTTATTTGGATACATTTCCCTCCATCTTTGCCAGTAGATTTCAATTTCTTAGAATAACTGTGGCTCGACTGAGCAGAACAGCAGTGAGAGTCGTATCAATCTTCTCACCTAACCCTGTGCCAAAAATTAAAAACAGATATTCGTAAATATGTGAAACTGTTCCTCGCACCGATTTATTGATGTGCTTCTCCGCCTCCCTTGTTCAGTGATGGGTCTCCACCTCGACCACAGTCCAGTCACTGATTGGGGAGCTGCCCTGGCTGTCTGGGGAGTAGCTGCTGACAGATGTGACTGTAGCGGTAGGAGGGCTGAACTGGGGAAACAAACTGGGCCACATGCTGCTCTCCAGGGGGCTTAGGGTGCCCCCAGACCCCACAGGGAGGAGGAGGAGCGGAGGGCAGTCTGTATCACCAGACAGCACCATGGTCTGGTTGATGAGCTGCTGGACCATGTCCACCTTCTTATTCCATTCCAGTTCCTGCGGGGGCACCGGGCGCAGGTGCTGCTGCCGGTGGGGGGACCGCCCCCTCCTTCTCACCTCCCCTCTGGCTTCGTCCTCCTCGTCGCTGGTTTCCATGGCTTCGTAGATGGTGCAGAGCCCCGAGGAAGGGGAGAGCATCACTCCGGTCGGGCTCCTCCTGAGCTGCTGTTGCTGCTGGATCTGTTTCTGCTGCATACGGTACTGCTGCTCCAGCTCCAGCTGCCACTGCAGGACCTGCCTGCGGTGGCGGTGCTCCTGCTGTTGCTGCTGCAGCTGCAGCTGGAGGAGCTCCCTGCGCTGCTTCTCCAGCTGCTTCTGTTGCTCCAGCCTCAGATGCTCTTCCTCCAGCCACTGCCTCTTCTGCCTCTCCTGCGCCTGGCGCTGCTGCATCTCCCTCAGCTTTTCCTGGTGTTGCTCCAACCTCTTCAGCTGTTCTCCGCCAGCGTGACCGTCAGCAGCAGCACCGGTCAGAGATGGAGGGGGAGCAATTTTGGCAAAATGGGCAGCAAGAGTCGGATCAATGGGCCTCCTGTTGCCCGGGACCATTGCCAAGTAGTGACCATTCGCTATGGGAGCTGCAGCAGTGTGGTTCTGGTTCTGGTTGTCTTCCTGTGAGTGTTTTTGCCATCTGTGAGCTTCGTCCACTTCATATCTCTTCCAATCTCCTGTGGGACAGTCAAGATCACTTGGTGCATCCGTTATAGATGCATGCATCAAACAGAACGGGTGGTACAACAAGGGGCCAGGAAGGAGGAGAGATCTGACACAAATGCAAAAAGGTGTAACAAAAAAAAGGAACAAAAAACAAGGGAAGGGGCTTCCAAAATAAAAGCGATAGAGGAATGCTGAACACCGCAGCTACAAACCGGTACAATGAAACACATCACACAACACTCAGTGCAACATGTTTCCTCTAATGCCACACCTTTGTTTCATATAGGACCACTCGGTTGAGTAGTCTGCACCAAAATCCCAGTCTCACATTTGAGGTGTCATTCTCAGGAACATGATGTCTGTCATGCAGGACAGTGGTCATATATGTGATTCACAGTAGAGTACAGACAACGGGCACATGGGATAGAACTGATAAAAAATATAATCACAAGAAGTTGATCATATCAAGATAATGTGTGGTTTTAATCATGTGGAAAAGTAACTTCAGTGTATGGTAGAGGAAACGGTATAATCACTGAAGTATAATCACCAAGTCAGGGAAGCACAAACCTGAATCAAGTCGTTCATGGTCTCATGAATGTAAATTTAGTGTTTAGGAAATGACAAAAGCTGGTATTTTAGAGACATCTAAGCTACAGCTGTGTCAGTGTGTGTGTGTTGTGGGGTATGTTCCGGTCAGGGTTTCAATGAAGAGCACGAGGCCAGACCAGAGAGGAGATGGTACTATTTATAGCTGCATATGTAGCGAACGAGGATGCAGATTCACCTCATGCCCTTCTGCGCATCTGATTGGCTAAACTCAAACTGGACCTGCATTTTAAGCAGCACGAGTCATCCAACTGTTTTATACCTGCAAGCTGCTTTGCAGCCCACCTCCATTCCACTTCCCCAATTTATGTCACTGCTAACTTAATGTCATGTTCATCATAAGTGGTGGTTTTTCTGGAGGTGGGGGGCTTCTTGACATGTATGTAAATAAAGAGCAGAGACGCCCCCCCTTGTGCATTACTGCAGGAGGGAGAATAATCAGAAATGCTGCTAAATGTGTTCTGTACAGTTTTTGAGCACTGGTAGCCCGATGAATTCATGCCTGCGCCCCTTTATCTTTGTGAAACAATGGGTACAATCTGCTACTACAGCTGTGACAACTGACGGTGGCAACGTGACAAGAAGTGTAGCAATGTGCTTGTGCAAAGACGAGGAGGAAGAGGAACTTTAAGCGATCTTCTTAAATGCTTGTTTGTAGTGTAGGAGTCCCATTAAGCTGACCTTCTTCTGATTGGCTGCTGCTTTTTGGTGGGGCTTCTGTGCCAAGTCAGAGCTGTAAGCCTGACGTGAACATATTAAGGTCATATTAAGGAAAAGTATCATAATAGATCCATTTAAATGTTTTTGAGGCCTCACAGTGTCTCTCACAGAACATCTTTGTTTGTTTACAAGAACCTTAAGCGAGCACTGCCTGTCAGAGAGAGAGTGCTCTGAACAGTGTGTTGGCGGATCTGAAAAGTTGACAAAGGTTTAAGCGTGCTGAAGATCTTGGATCGCCTTTTTACTTTGACCAAAATTCCATCTAGACACAACACCATTGAACAACGGCCACATCACTTCCTGTTTAACAGCAGTTCCCATGGCGAAGAATAAGAGACGCCACTTGGGAAATACTGTTGCATAAACACACACACACACACACACACAAACACAAGGAGACAAATTCAGACATGCTCGGATCCATAGGGAAAAAAGGAAACAGGAACAAAAATGCCTTGCAATGATGTTTTAATGGAATTTTGAAAGATAAGCTAATGTGAACCATTCATTTCTGAACATCATGTCTAGTGTAGAATTGTTGCAAATTTCCAGGTAGTACAGAGTCTTTGTTAATTAAACATGCAATATACTGTTGAAATAGTAAACCAAACGCCCACTATGAAAAGGTTTCAGAGAGTGTAAAGCTGTGATGTGGAGATTATGTAGCGTCTCATCACGAATAAAAAGGCTAGCCGTTAGTCTCTTCTTGGAACACAAATGATCTGCTAACTGAGGCTCGAAGCTTGAAGCCACTTAACCAAACGCTTGAAACACATACTGTACGTGACTGCACGTTATATACCTTAACAACCTATGCAAAGAGCAGTAGAACCTCTTGAAGCACACATTAAAAAGCGTCGCCAACTGCAATCTATTGATCGCCCCCCCGCGCACACACCTACTTCAACTAATCCGTAACGGCAAAATAAAACCTGCTGTGTTAATATCTAGCCTTTATTTTGATAGCTAAAAGTCTTGAAAGGAGAAGACAAACAAATAAAAAAAAAAAGCGACTATCGCTATGGTGCTGTTGAACATGGAGTGTGTGTACACAGGGAAGGGGAGGACCAGGTTTTAACAGAAACCAAACCAAAACAAAAAAACCCAAAAAATAAGCAAATACAAAACAACAACAAAAAATCATTGACATTTGATTGGTAAAAACAGTAGGATAAATACACAATGAGTCCATATTATTCCGTCTGTGTGTTGTCTTTTTTTTTCCTTTTCCTTTTTTCGGTTTAAAAGCTCAGTCACATTGGACCAATCAGTCAATACCCCATCAGGGGCTACAGAATAAGCAGGGTTACTTAAAAAGAACATCCTACTAGAAAAATGGAGTTAAGCCATACACTCATAACCGTGACCATAACAGTATGAAAGAGGGAGGCTTCATTTAAAAATTGCTACAGTCATTTTTTTTCCTTCTCCTTTGTTCATTTTTTTAAAATCTTTTTTCCTACAATCTTGCTCTCCTTTTTTTTCTTCTTCTAACCATCTAACCCAATTGGAGAGAAAACAAAAGAAGAAAACAGGTAAAAGGGGGAGGGTTGCAGGGAAAAGGTGCATTCCGGGGGGTAACAGGAGGGACTTATACGTTACCTGCCAGAAAACTATCAGTCTTATCAGATATGGTAGAGTAGTAGGACGCCTGGTTGTCGCCGGTGTCTCCAGATTCCTCGGCCTCGACTGGATCGATGTCCTCCAGCTGGTCTGCTGCAATCTTCCCTCCCAGCATGTAGTGGTGGTCATCTAGACTGGGATGGTTGTCCTCCGGGTGACCCAAAGGCATCAGGTCCACAGATCTGCCCAGCAGGTCCTCTGCAAGGGCGGAGGTGGCAGCCGATGGCAGCGTCAGCTCCTTGATGAGGGAGGGGTCTTTGGCCTCCTCTGGCAGCTGCTCCTCGTTCTCCAAGGAGAAGATTCCAGGGCTCTTCCCGCAGCTCTCAGCCATGGAGTGGGCGTTGGAGTTGGATGTGGTGCAGTCGAAGCCGTAAGACGCTACAGAATTGGCTGACTGAGGGGTGGCCCCACCCCCATCCTCCTCACCCTCCCCAGCTGGTGTGTCCCCAGCCTCTTCGTCCTCCTCGAGAGCGGGCAGGCTACACGTCTGAGGAGGACTCTCAAACCCGGCACTTTCATCTACCATCATGGGTGCTTCAGGGTCATTTATTTGCATCTCCCCTTCTGTATCGCTGGCCTCGTCTCCCGAGGTGGAAGGGGAAGAAGGGGCGGATGCAGGAGCAGTTGGGGGTCCAGTGCCCAGGACCTCGTCGGCGGGGAGCGTCTCGGCTTCCTCCTCTTCCCCGTCGCCTTTTTCTAAGTGAATACCGAGATCCTGCTCCATGTCAGGCTGAACCGAAGCGGGCACTGGGGTCTGCTGCTTGTCAGAGCGGGACTCTACTCCAGAGCTGCTGTCATAGTCACGGAGTTCCTCTGGTGTGCTTGTCTCGCTGCTGCTCTGGGCTGCCAGAGCCGTGCCGCTTAGAGTGCTGGACTGGGACATGCCTACAGGTGGGGCAGCAAGTAGGGTGGGAGCCTCTGCAGGAACTGAGCCCTTTGTCTCCTCATATGATGACTGATGAAGGTTGGTTTCTTGCTCCATCTCAGGAGCAAAGGATGGGGCGCTGACGTCCAAACATGCCTGGGCAGGAGACTGGGTGGGCGCTTCAGACTCAGCAGCACCGTGGTCGGACACGGGGCTGGGGGAGGAGACGGAGAGCAGTGAGGCTGGCTGAGCCCAGGTATCACAGAAGGGGTTGGTCTGGCCCCAGGAGGATGCCGGGATGGAGGGCGGAGGACCCGATTGATTGAGGTTATCTAAATGTGCCTCCTCATTAAAGTCATCCTCATTCTCACAGCTCTCCATCACTCCTTCACTGCGCATTTCCACGTCTTCATCCTCTTCCTCATCTTGCCCTTGCTCCTGGAAAACTTTATGGTGTTCGTCTACCCTCTCAGAGCTCAAATCCATATCGTCCACCCGCTCATCCTCATCATCCTCGTCCTCTTCTTCATTGGCTAGGGTTTCCACATTGGGAGAACCCATGAGGTTACCATCTCCTTCAGAACCACGGAGGCTAGTGTCAACCAGGGCATCTGAACTCTGGGTGCCCTCCAGAATTGCGGTATGCTGGGTGCTACTAAGGTCTGAGACCCCCTGCTGTCGGCTGCTGGTGCAGCTGCTCACATCCTCGGAGTCCATCCCAGACAGCAAGTCGTCACCGTGCCACCCTGTTGAACCTCCAAAGGCAGAGGAGCGCACTTGGAAGTCGTCAGAGGGCTGAGACGTGCTCATGTCAGTGATCAAAGACGAAGGCTGATAGCCCAGTCTCCTTTGTTCCTCATCTTCATCATCATCATCCTCATCATCATCCTCGTTGATTTCCTCATCTGCCTTTTCCACGGCCTCCTCCTTTTCATGAGGAGAGATCAGGCCTCTGGGGCTGAAATTATCCAGAGGGGAGGCACCCAATAAGTGAGGTTGCACTGTGTTATTAAAGGCCTCGGGAGCTGCGGGGGTATGCATAAACAAGTTTTCCTTCTCTTCTTCTTCCTGCTCTTCGTCCTCTTCCTCCTCTTGTGTCTCCTGAGCCTCAAACTGCTGGCACTGTTCCTCTTCTCTCTGGAAGTTCATCATACTGCTTGGGCTTTGGTTTATGTTCCAGGGATCAGAGTGGACATGGGTGCCCAGGAGAGAGTAGGCATTCTGTTGGTCTCTGACAGGAGAAGCAGGGCCTTGTGGGGAACAAGGAGGAGACATGACGGTAGTACCCAGGGAGTCGTTGGCAGGCTCCTCAAATTTGAAAGGATCTATCTGTGCAGGGAGCTGAACACCACACACTGCTTCATGGACCAGTTCTGCCTCCTCTGCTGGTGGGTCAGACAGGAGATCTACAGATGCCTCGGGGAATGGTTCTTCTTCTTGATGTGAAATTAGTTCTTGTACAGGTTCTGGAGTAGGTTCCCTAGCAGGTTCTGGTGTAGGTTCTCTTACAGGTTCTGGTGTGGGTTCTCTTGCAGGTTCTGGTGTAGGTTCCCTGACAGGCTCTGGTGTAGGTTCCCTGACAGGCTCTGGTGTGGGTTCTCTTACAGATACTGGTGTGGGTTCCCTGACAGGCTCTGGTGTGGGTTCTCTTACAGATACTGGTGTGGGTTCCCTGACAGGCTCTGCTGTGGGTTCTCTTGCAGGTTCTGGTGTAGGTTCCCTGGCGGGTTCTGGTGTGGATTCCCGTGCGGGTTCTAGTTTTGGTTCACAAACTGATTCCGCCACTGGTGCACAGACTAGTTCTGGTTCTGGTGTGAGCTCTGCTGATTTTTCTTCAGGAGTTGTAATGGATGGCTCCACAGCTACTTCTGCAGGAGGCTCTGGTTGTTCTGGCACAGCAATAACAGCTGCTGTGGCAGCAATCGCTGCTGCAGCAGCTACAGCTGCGGCAACTTCCTTTTCAGGTTCAGCGGCTGTGGCAGCTTTAGGGGCGCGTTTAACAGGAGTTGGTGTGCTGCTTCCCACAGTTTTCTTGGGGCTGGAGGTCTTGGTTTTGGAGCCAGGAGTCTTAGCTGGTGTAGGCTTGCTCTCTTGTGTTTTGGGGCGGTTAGGTGTTTTGGTGTCTGCTGGCTTGTTAGTAGCAGGCTTTTTGGCAGTGACCTCTGATTTTGAAGCGGACTTGGAAGTCTCGGATTTTGCTGACTTCGTTGTAGAAGAAGGGCGAGTAAGGGGGGAGTCTGCAGGCTTTTTGGCTGCTGGCGTGGATGGTTTGGTGACATCTAGAAAAAACGCACAAAAGCACACAAGGGGTGGTTTAACAATGTGATATTGTAGAAAATTAAAATACATCATTGATGATTAAACCCACAGTGTAATGTTTAACACATTTGCATAATGTACAGTCAAGACCCAGAAGAAAAAACCTTAGAAGGGTTGTGTCAGGAAGAATATCCCCAATAAAAATCTGCTAAATCAAACATGTGGATCCATCTGCTATGGCAACCCCTTGTAAACAGGAGGAAGACAAACAACGTTTTATTGATCCCTTCAAAGTCACCACTGTGTTTTCTGTAGTTAACACTGTAATCAGGCCAAATATATGGAATATAAAATTGAAATTAATTAATTTATTCATTTATTTTGAGATCTCAGAACCATAAAACACATATCAGTATTACACATAATTATAACATACTAGAGCGGGCAGACATAAACACATTTTATGTTTTAATGTTTTATTTTTACATCCATCTGAGGAAATGATGTGATCACTTTACTTTGGACAACCCTTCACTGCTGTTTTTAAAGTTCAGCCACTGCTCACCAGCCTGTTTTGTCACAGGAGGGCAGACTGTACGGGTTGCTGTGACGGGTATCAGTGTCTGTGATCCTGTTTCAAAGTCAGAATTCAATGTCTTGTTTTGCTCTAGAGTTCTGCTGGAGGGCCACTCTAACCAGACTGGTGCTGCTTGGAGTCTGTCCACAGGATGAGGAATATTTTGCAGTGGCCGCTCCATTGCTGATAATTACACCGTCTTTACGGTACAATTTACTTATTTATTTAAGACTAAGAAGTGTGACGCCTTTCATGCGCATGCATATGCATGTAGTTAAAATGTACTCCTACAGTACTTTTCTATCTCCACTCCATGATATGTTAACGGATCTCCTACCACTCTTACACCGATGACACCCAGCTGTACCTTCGATTTAAAACCTGGTGATCAAACTTGTGGATGCCTAAAGAGCCAGTCACAATGTCATGTATTTGACCCAAAACATGAATGAAGTCTTAATATTCAGCTCTGCTACTGCTCCAAAACCTCTTTGTCTTTGGTTTAAAAGGCACAGATGCCAGTGGTGGGCTGACAGCTTATGCTAACAGTAGTTTTATTGTTCATTTTCTCTTTGTGGTTATTTATTCTCCCTTTTGTCCCAGTAACACAGACAAAAACCTTTAACACACCATCCCTGAATAAACACTCATTCAGAAGTCCATTTTCCCAGCGCACAACAGGGAAACACAGGTGTTACTAATGACATTAATTAACGTTCATCTGTATTTAGTGCAGAGCTTTTATCAAAACGATTATTCACACCTGTGTTTGCCTACTAGTGCATGGAAAACGTTTGTCGGAAACATCATCTCGACTCTTGTTTTGTTACAGGTAGTCCTATTTCCTCTGCAGCTGGTGCAAAATGCGATGAGCAGGCTTCTGTACGGACTAGCACGCCATCACAACTTTTCCAGATCTGCTTTTTCATTCATTTATTTATTTATTTTCAATCAAGGGGTGTCTGTTGTTAGCCCGAAACTATGGAAGTACCCGTCATCCAGAGCTCTATTCATCACTGGCATCTTAAAAACATCTCTTTTTCTTTAATGTGTTAGTAGTCATAATACTTGCTATCAATTGCTATTAATTGCAATCAAATGCTATTGTGTTTCTTTTCTCATTTCTTTTCCTTACCTTTTTTCACAGGGGTTGTGGTTTTGGATGTTTGAGATGGAGGTTTGCCACCAGAGGGGGTAGTGGAGGTTGGTTTGGGGGTAGCCGGCTTGGCGGTGGCAGAGGGAGTTTTAGGAGTGGCAGGTTTGGTTGTAGCAGGGGAGCTCTTGGCGTTGCTGCTAGTAGGTGGCCGAGATGAGCCCGTAGCAGGACGAGGGGATGAAGTTGTGCCGGTTGTAGGCCTGAAGAGACATAACAGAGAAGAAGGGTTAGCAAATACTAAGCTGCACTACACAATATGTCCAAATCACGAATGAGACCGACAGTGAAATGAGTTTAACAGACAGTGAATCCCCTGGTTACAGAACTCAGGGAATGGAGATTAACTGAAAGTGACTCAAGCATTTGAGTTTTTAAAGTCACCCACATCTTGGGGCAAACATCAAGTCTCACCCTGACTGTGTGTTGCTCAACCCTGTGCTCAGAGTGCTTCAGAACGGCTCTGACAGCGAGCAAGAGCTTGACATGTCAGCAGCAGACACTTCTACTGCTAAAGGGTACCTTAAGAAAGAGCACACACAAGCAACAATGCTTGCATAGCTCACAACACTAACATTAAACACACATAATATTAATAATGAAAGCAATATATAATGGCTCATTTGCAATCTTTCTAGACAACAAAGGCTAGCCATCTATTTTAAAAATGAAGTGCAGAGTAGTGCAAACATCTTTTGTAATAATAAATTAAAGCATGTGCAAATAGCCAACGCACTGACCTGATTAGCTGTTGCAGCAACGCTAAATACAATGAGTCAACGGGTTCACATAAGGTAGACACCTATTGAGACTTCCCTCTTAAGGACAGGAGGCATGAATGATTCAGAGCTACCTGAGTACTGATTTAAAAGCCTTTACATTAGTTCCCTGTCAGGTTTTGTAAGGATTTTCAAAAGGCACACAAGTAATACACCATCAGGGCAGCCCCTGAGATGCTTTGGCACAAATTCATTTCATTTGTTTTTATTTTTATTTATAGATGCAGGACAAAAACTTTATCTTTTGAGCCTTTGGAGCAGTCAGAAAACACGTGATACCAACCTAAAAGTGCCAATTAACCCTCTCCAGGCAGACGTTGCAGATTAGCAACAGTTAAGAACTAACAAACTGATTACCCCACATACATATTTTATGAGTTTCTTTTACTCAGAAGTACCACTGGACTAGTATGAAAGCAAACTTTCTCCAAGTCCATGACAAACTCCTCCAGGGACAATCAAGTTGTTGAAGGTGAGTCAGAGCGGCCCCAGAGAGGCACACTGACCCCAGTTGATCCCTCCTTGCCCACTTCCCTCCTCACATGGGGGTGATCCTTTGGGGCAGCGTGCGTCAGCTCTGCCTGCTCTGGCTCTCCTGGCCTAGATGCTGGCTCCTATGTCACGTCTGAGCGAGGTAACCTACATCTAGTAGTCCTGACAGGGCTGTGGTGTGCAGTCTCCCGGGGCCACGCTACACTAACTGCCTGTTTCTAAATAAAGAATTGAGTTAATACTGGCAGAAAGAGAACAGGCAGCGGGAGGGAGGTGGAGGGAGAGTGAAGATGCCTGGGACCATGTTAATCTTTAATACTGAAAGGAGAACAAATATAACTCTTCCAAATCCAGCAGCACCAGCACCACCCGTCCCCTCAGCTGGAAGCACGGGCTATGTTAAAGGCACGCTCACTTCGTAAAGGCGAGGAAGTAGCGTGTGCTATTCACAGCCTGGCAAATGTACGGGAATACAGTGTGGCAACATGAAATGAGAGTGAAAACCCGATAAGGGTGTGGTGAACTCGGAGGTTCAAAGAAGCTTTTGCAGTTGATTCACATCATGCAGGCTCTGGGGCAGTGAAGGTGTGTTACTAATAGTGAGGCTGCTGGATCATGTCAGGATCGTGCTGATCTGTGGTTCACTGTTTTAGCATGTCTGACGCCGACTGTTGTCTGCTAAATCTGGGAGTTACTGTTGCTCACGTTCTAGTGCGTTTGCTGTGAATTTTGCTATGGAGGCAGCGTAAAAGCCACATCTCAACTGTAAAATCCCGCCTTAGTGAGTAAGATACTAAGATTTTAAGCTCTCAAATTTAGAATCTGTTCTTCAGGACAAAAAGAAGATGATGTCTGAATTAGAGAGTGAAAGATGGGAATTACAGGGAAAAGAGAATGGGGAGAATTAAGAGATAGAGACTGGCATTAGAGATGAAGTATGCTAATGGAATATTCAGAGAGAGCATTCACAGTAATCTGCCTGATAAAAGGAATGTGGATAATCCAAAAAGGCAGGAGGACTTTAAAGAGCGCTGGAAATTAACCAGGTCACTGAAAAAGAAGGAGGCGCGACGGAGATGGAGACAGTGAAGGAGATTTCTGTTGAGTTGTAATGCGTATCTACTGGCTCTCAGTCCAATTTACTTGGATCAGTATTTCTTTACTTGTGTTTATGTTCTTTTGTTCTTGCACTGGTTTTGATTATTTATTACCATGATTTCCTTCCTCATTGTTAAACACGGCCGTCTCCACATCCACAGTATTGTAAGGCTCCATCTCACAGTAGAATTAGATCTTGTGTGTTCCAAGATTAGTTTACCACAACTTGGCTTGTGGTGACGAGGCCTAAACACGGTGATGCTTGCTTCTGTAATTAAGTTCTCTTGTCAGCCAAATGACTGAGAAGACTGCAGGACTCATTGTAGTCTTTAAATGATGCGCCTACATTTAACTCAAAGGGCAGCTTGTGCTAAGGGAAAGAAGCTTTGTTTATTGTTCTCATCCCACCACAGGCCTCACTCAGAGAAACACTATAAATTGGGGCTAAAGCAAATTGTTCAACGCGACACCGAGAAATGGACCGAAGCTGAAAAATCAGATGACTCTCATTGCTACAGGCGGGCTGTAAAAAATACTTAAAGACGCCTGAGGATCACTGACGACACTTCAGCTGAGAAAGGATTGCTGTGTGCAAAAACATGGCTGCCTGCTGGTGGTGCTTTGTTGCGATCCAACGGGATTCGGGGCTATGATTTAAATAATGAGATTGACAAAAGGGGGAGGCAAATGAGTAATCAGGAGCAAAGCAGCCGTGCAGGCAGACATCTTCCCTGCAGCACAGACGGCCATCTACGGTGGAGACGAGCTTCCTTCTCCAAAGACAAGCAGATAAATTAAAGTATGATGCTGTGATAATTAAAGAGGCAAGATAACCCCTCCATTAAATGAACCTGATCAGAGCTCTGCTCCTTAGAGCGCTTGTTCCTTTAATAAGGTGTTTTTATTTAAGACAAAGGTTGCAGTAGGGTAGCCCTAAGCAATGCAGGTGTTACACTGCTCTGCAGCAGGAAATGAGCACCTTGAGGCTCTATGATTCATAACCTGGATGAAATTTCATCTAAACCTTATCTAAATGCGAATCGAAGAGAATGATGACTGCAGGCAGGGTACTACACTTCAGTTTATGTGAGGGATGTGTGCGACTTCTCGGCATACTTAGTTGGTTAAATGAAAGCACAGGATCAGATACATGTCAGATCTGACATGTTATCCAGTCACTCACCACTACTCACCGCTGCAGCTCTCACACTCTCTGAGGGGAAGTTACAAACAAGTAAGGTGGAAGCTAACACAGACGACAGCTTGATGGTTCTGCAGTACTTTGATCCACGGATCAGCTGTTGTACTTCACGCAGGCTGCGTCAGAGCAAAGTGCCATATAAGCACTCGACTACATTTTTCTGTGCTCACGTGTGGATGTGACTGGCGGTGCTAGCTGTAAATGATTTATGCACGCTTCAAAGTGCCACACATCTCGTCTTGTGTTGACAATGTTTAACATGTCTGTTAGATTTTGCTCAATTCTGGTGGATTTCTATTTTTTTACTAGACTAGTTTCCTCTTGTTTAACCCTTTATCACAGAAGTATCATACAGGACATCTGGACTCATTTTATAACTCTGGCTGAAAAAAAAAATGCTACTCTGATACCCCAACAATGCTGTAAAGCTCAACTTCTCCCCAAACAGTTTTTTTCTACCTTAAACAGTAACGGCATTAGGGTCATTTATAGAGTGCTTGTAAAATGGGCCAACTGCCAGAACCATGATAAATACAGGCTGGGTTAAATGGAAACATCTCCAGTGGATGACCTGTTTAACCAGGATGCAGGGTGGATAAAAACATATCACCTCTCTAGTCTTTGAAATGTTTGACTAAAAACTGCAGTGTTTGAAGAACTGCCACATGTCTTTATCATGAGTGGAACACCCACAAACAAGTCTGCCTCACATTCAATCATACTCTGTCCCTCCCTCCGATTACTAAATCCATTTAGTAATTGGCTCTGCGGCTGCTCCCTAATAACATCATGGCAGCGGGACTCTGCTTCATGGAGTGGTTGGCCACACCCGTGGCACGAGGGAAGATTTACAGCCTGCGCCGTGCGTTGTTTGTCTTCATATCGGACTGCTGAACACTGTGTGGGACGAGCTGCTGCTTACCACACAAACCGGTGTTGGACCGTTACATCAGCAGTAATTTGTTAGATGACGAGGAGGGCTGCATTCAATCCCCTCCAATAAAAATGTATCATCCCTGAGGGACCATCAGCGAGGAAAACACCATGACTAATGTGGGAACATGGGCAGCTGAGTGGGCAGCATAAAGGTGATGAAAAAAAGATCCTGATAGCTCAAAGGCTACCACATCTACTTCTCTGAGTGCATTTATATAGCACTGAATGCCCTTGATCTGTCCTCTGATTTCCAACAGGGCAATTTCTTTCTTTTTGCTTGAAGCAGAGTTACCCTCTGCTCCTTCCTCCTTTCTCCACCTCTGTGCCTCTTTCTCAAACACTCATTTGCTGCATGTAGAGCCCTAACAAGACATGCATCTCTGGCAGCAGTGACGGGAGCTCATCAGTGACGTATGCGATCGCGAAGCGTCCATACTCCACCGCCACCATTTTTGTCTTCACGTCACTACGCCGCAGCTAGAGACGGCAGAGCAAGCGGGAGAACCCGGCTCGGCGTCACGTGACCGTGTACTACGTGTCCAGCGAGCACGCGCGTACGCCTCCCTTCCCCCCACCTTTAAGTCCACATCATACACAGCAATATATCGGCAAATGAACACATGCTCTGCATTCTAATGACATGCTGTTTCTCCAGTGCAATCATCCGTGCACACACAAAAGCACCTATAAGGGGAATGCACAGTGTGCTGCAGTCTCCTATTGGGCGGTTTTCATGCTAGACACCAGCACTCAAGTCTCAATGCAAAACAAGAGAGAGGCAAGAAATTGGTAAATATTCATGCACACAACCTGGGACATAAGCTACTAGCACACACACTGCTGCATGTGTAGGTAATATAATGTTCAAAGATCCAACAGTGATTTCCACTTCCTGTGTTTTGACACAAATATTTTCCCTCACATGCTACATGCTGTATGCAATCAGCATCAAACAGCAGGTGCACATATAACACGTACACACAATTTAATGAGTGTCCAGACACAACACCTTTATGAAAAACAGAGACATGCACATACTATAAAGTGAGCAGGTAGCTATACTCATGCACACTGCAAACATGCTTAACAAGTTTAAGCTTGATGCTGGTAATGTACTGCTGACACAACAGGCTTCATCTTCATTTGACAAAGCCATCTTTCTGTTAACTTTAAGAGTGCGATTACGAGGTTAAAGAGAACAGAAAGGATGAGTTACAAGAAAGAGTCCCTGCTGTATTTAATGTAACTCAATTTAGCAAAAAAACCCAAACCCTCCAGCTCAATAGAGAAAGAAAACATTTATAAGTGGCCTCAAATTACATAGATTAATGTCACTCTGTGAACCAGCATTTGCTGTTTGTCTGATAAGTGAAATCTGCTTTGGACGGAATTAAATCAACTGAGCCTTTAGAGTAACACTGCATAAATTGAGAGCCCCAATGTGTTTGAGTGTGTGTGCGGCAGCAACAGGAGGAGGAGGGTGCGTCTGGTGTGGCAGTTAATGTGTCTGTTGAGCTCTCCCCCACTCTGCCGATGGTAGGCCTGAATTACGGAGTGAGTGAGGTAGGAAAAGGGCAAAATCTAATTAAAGCTGAAATTTATGGCCCTGTCAAAGCACGTCACATTTACTAAAGCAGACATGCACATACACACACTTAACAAAGCATGCCCACAAGGGTACAAGGGGCTGTCAGAAGAGCCAATCGTGACTAATAGTTATACTTCTCTCATGGGGATTCATGGAGATTTACTGCAGGAGGAGGCTTCTCTGGACTACACATCCAATGTATGAGCACATGCACCAATAGCACTGAATATTGCATGTTATAGATGCCTATAATTACAACCTCAGCTCAGTCTTTTGAACAAAGTGTTCACGTTACCTACTCAGGCTATTAGCTAAAGATTTAGCTTGGCATGCTTACAAATAATAATAATGATAATAATGATAATAATAACAGAGAATGTGTTAAGATTTCAATGTAAAACATGGATATTGACATGGATTGACATGAAGACTGACACAAGTCACGCTGGATAATAAATGGATTTCACCCTGCCAGCTCTGCGGTACAAAGCCTTTGTAAAGACTGATGGAGGCGAAGTGGGAACAGAGCAGCCTTTAAATGTTTGAAATGGCAAATCTGGCCTCAAACCGTGACATGGTTGATGTGTGTGGAGGTGGGGCGGTTAGCTAATAATGCTGTGCTGGATTAATGTAACAATATCCACCCTCTATAATGCTAATTGTGTGACACAGACTGAACAGCGGATGTCTGCAAAAGCACTATGGTTGACAGGAAAGAGTGAAACGGGTGAGTTTATTTCCACTTCCAATCTCTTGCAGTGAGTCATTGGTAACCTTACCTTTACAAAGCAACGAATTAGCACTTGCTGACGTGAGTGTACCTGAGATATCAGCTTAACAGATACATTTTTTTTTAAATTTCTTTCAACTGGAACAGGAGGCTAATAACACTGATTAGCTAACCTGTTACTAAATTCAAGCAAAATTCAATTTTAGAAAAGCAAAAAAAAATGATTTTAGCCATTAAATGAAATTTTAAAAAGTAAAGAAGAGGCGGGATACGTGCAACTGTGTTGCGAGTCTTGATAATGCATCGTTCGCCCATAGTTTGGGCACTTTACAGTGTCCCCGCTAGCAACACACAATCCCACATAGACAATAATCTGAGAAGGATCGGGCAGTGTAAGCGAGTAAATAAAAATCCAGCATCTAATAATCATCAGTCAGTGCCCAATAATTAATAAATGTTAAATTCATAGTTAATTCACTTTTACTATTACCAATCAATAAAATGATAATAAGTCAGTTAATCTATTTAACTAGTTCATGTAATAAGAAATGTAATTCTATATAATGTTATGTTTGGTGCCCAATAAAAGGAGGGAACGACAAGATTCAGATTACTTTGGGACATATAACATTGTCTGTGCTGTGTATTGATATACTCTGTGTTTGTTGTTGGTTTGTGATAAAGGTTTCATTATTCATCAGTGAGCCTGACCTCACACCGAGGCCACGAAACACTAGCTGGTTAGTCAAAGCTGCTGGTGTGTTAGAGATACCCACAAGGCGTTAGTCCTGTGATCAGTGTGTCAATTTCCTGTTTATTATTCATGGGGTATATAGAGTGTTACAGATTTCTAAAGCTAATGTAAAATTATTATTACATGTTTTAAAGTGTTATGTGATGCACAACTAAAACACCTGCGAGTGAGTTTCATCTGCATAGATAAATTGCTGATTAAACACTGGTAATGAACTAACTAGTGAATACAGCCCTAACCCTGATAGTGCTCATGTGTGTTTAATGGTTTTATATTTCCAAGGAGTGGAGACTGATGCACAATGGTGGGACGTGACGGAGCCAGTCGGTATAACAGAAATGAAATCATCAGAGCAGTTCATAAACACTGCACATGAGTAAATTGCACCGCAATATAGATTATCAAAGTGCCCTTGTGTAACTCGTTTTAATAAGATGTTTGTACATCAACCATTGCATAAAGCTGTAATCTGAGTGTAATCTCCTCAATCCAACTGTTACCCGTGGCACAGGGAGAGTGAGAGAATGGACGGGGGTGGGGGTGGGGAGGATCTAAAACACTTTGCGGGTCAGGTGGGAGAAAGTGGTTGACAAACCAGTGTGTGCTGGGAAGGAAAATGTTAGTATAGTGAATAGTATTAATACAATATATAACATACTGTCAGTGATTTAATAGGGAAGAGAACAGGGGAGCTAGCTACAAACAAAATCGAGCTTTCCTCGGTCATATAAGGACCATCTTCGGGAGCGGGTATAGCTCACCGTAAGACTATTATGGCTCTGCACTTTCTCCCAGCTTTCTTGTCTTCCCTCTGCTGTCCAATATAAAGAAAAGGCTTTAAAAAGGCTGTCTTCCATTCTGTTACAGCAGCAGATGTGTGTCTGAAAAGCATTTTTAATGTCAGCAATTATGATATTTGACAGTGTTTATAATTCCTTAATTTGGTATTGAAGAAACGTAATAAAGAGATTTATCTGGATCATTCAGGTAAGGAAATCCAATGAAGTTGATTCTGTTCATCTGGAAGTTGAGTTAACAGACCCTTCTGCTGTTGAGGAAGTAGCTTAGCTGGTCTTTCTTGTTATTAACCTTTCTAAATATACTGTTACCACCGTCATGCTAGCACAAAGTTGCAAAAAGCAGTGGGCTAGCTTAGCCTAGCCTAAAGAATATGAGAAAGAAACATCTAACCCTGACCTGATCTAATGCTTTCTAAGCCCACTAAGCACTTTGTGTCTAGTTTGAACTCTTTTAAGATGCTATTTTTGGACACTTGCTTTTTGGGTGGATTAAAAACATGTTATAACAAGATGCTGTAATTAGTGAGCTTCAGAGGAGTTAGTGGCCAAGAATGGTTATTACCTCTAAACTGAGCTAGGCTAGCTATTTCCTTTTTTTTAAATTTGATATCTTTCCAATTTATTATTTTCTAAAATGTCCAACTTTTAGCATCTTCCTGGGAATGCTTACATGGTCGATCTCTCAGAGGCTATTTGTTTACTCCAAATAATGCAATCTCTTTGAGATGGTGTTTCGAACTCAACAATGGGTCTACACACAGACATACCAACAAGATGACATAACACGACAGGGAAAAAAAGGAGGCTTTGCATGAACAAAACAAACAAAGTCAAAGACGAGGCAGAAGGATCAGCTATTCAAAGAGCAGCTTGAGTCCCAAAGGCTCCTCTGCCTGATCATGATCATCGCGGCGTCAGACAAAGGCCTCCTTCAGCCTCCTCTCTTGGTCTGTTGCCAAGTCACCTCAGGATTCGGCACCATGCATACAGCATGACTCAGGTGAGGAACACATGTTGATCTGATTTCCACATAAACATAGTGTCACAGCACACACTGCCACACAGAAAGAGCAAAAAAACCCAAACAAAAACCAAAAAAACCCAGAAAAATATCTTGTTCTTCGTTTCATCTTCCCAACGCTCATCCTCCACTCTCTAAATCCCTCCCCAAACTTGTTTTATTAATAATGCTGTATAATGATGAAAGCCTGCAAGGCATTACTCTAAGGCTTGTTCTGACATTGCCTTGTTGCTGGCCTACTTATGCCCGGCCCCTGTGAGCCTGTATGTGGGGGACCATTGTCCCCGATTCCCCCAGGGTGCTCTTTCTTAAACAGCGCCGTCTTTGAACCTGTAGCCAAGTGAAAGCCTTTTGAACTAACTGCTTCTCACTTGGCACTGAAGAGATTTGTAGTGCTTAGCTCAGTCCCTGCAACTTTTGTCATTTGCATTTGCAGCTGTTCTGAAGCAAATTTTGAAATTTGGTAGCAGTTTTCAAAAGGAAGAAAAGAACACTGAACATTTTTGCCTGGAGGAGTCTGCGTCTGCGTTATAGATAGCAGCCTGTGTTATCTACAAACGCACAGAAAGTATCTTTGTGCGTGCTTGTATGTGTAAACAGATTCACACACTTGAGCACGGCTGAGGCTTCAGTCCAACGCAAGTGTCACACCTACCTGGTTGTCTTGGAAACGGGGGGCTTATCGGGTTTGGGTGAGGCAACAGAGCCGGGCTTGGTGGAAGTTGCAGAGGCAGGCTTGGGAGCTGGAGACAGGACAGAAGAGCAGAGGAGGGGAAAAAGGCAAAAAAAAAAAAAGACAGCAGTGTAAAACAATAAGAACATTATTATATGCTGTAGTAAAGAAGTATATAATAATAATTTTCCTCAGATATAGGTCAGGCAGAGAGCTTTTATCCAGTGTGTCACAAGGATCTAGGGCAAAAACATTTATAGTTTAGCAGGAGTCACTGTAGCATGTCTAATATGTGAGCTGAATTCATCTGATGAGCAGCTATATGCATATCATCACATTACAATGAACACTCCTCATTAGAGCTTTGAAAACATTTGCTAGAATGCTAGAATTATATTTGTCTTTTCACGCTGATCTTGATGACATTTTCACCAACCTGGGGGCTTTTTAGCAGCTGCTGCAGCGGTATTGGATTTGACACCATTAGCATTTGTAGATGGGGTCTTTTTGGCTGCTGTCGTTCCGGTGGTTGACTTTGCGCCGTTGGTGGCAGGAGCGGCCCCCGTGGCTTTCTTCTCAGACACTTTAGCCGATGTTTTGGAGGCTGGGGCGCCGGCAGTTCCTGTTGGTTTTTTCGACGAAGCTGAGGTCAGGGTGCTCTTTTTGTCCGCTGCAGGCGTGGTCTTCTTAGCAACACCGTTGGTCTGAGGTTTGGACACACCGTTTGAGACGCGGCTCTGCGATGTGTTGGGCCGTGAGCCGGTTGTAGCCTTGGTTTGAGTGGTGTTGCCGGGTTTCGTCTTGGTCGCGGTCTTGTTGGTACTCTTGGCTTTGGGGTCTCCCGAGGTCTTGTTGTTGGTCTTGGCAGCTGGGGTTTCCTTGGCCTGGTCTCCCTGTGTTTTTTCCTGATCTCCTTCACCCCCCAGCTGCTGTGGCATCACCTCTTCCACCCCGCTGGCTGCCTGATTGGGCTCCCCGGGTGGTGCGCCATCATTCACGGGATTGGATTCCAATGTTTCCATTGGCTCCAGCGCTGCCGTGGCAACCCCATCCGGCTTCATCTCCCCTCGAATGGCCGTGGTCTGACACTGCAAGGCAGGGCTGACTGGGGTAAGTTGCGCGGGACAGCCACAGGTCAAGATGCGTTCTGCAGATGTTAAGGGTTAGTCTGGAAGGAGAGAATACACAGAGAAGCTCAGTTAGTCAGCAGCAAGACCAGACATGAAAAGCAGTTCTCACTGCTATCAATAGATGGAGGCCCAGGAATGTTGGTACCCTCAGGAATCAGATAAAGGATAAGCTTATATCTTCTAAAAGCTTCAGCACCACACATTCAGAAATACTTTTACATAAGTATCAGAGAGGTGGAATAAAACTGTAAATGTGCAGAAATAGAACAGTATGTCTCATTAAAGTATATAAGGGGGGACTAAACTTCTACAGAATATGAAAAACAGACAAAATTAGTACCAACTAATAGCAAAATGTGCGTGAAGTCTCAGGAGTTATAGAGGGAAGGACAGAACAACATGTTTACTGCAGAAACAACACATTCTACTTATAGCCTTCATTCATTTCAAAAGCAGCTGCACTGCAGTTGCAAACGGTCCCCTCTGTGGCACGAAAAAGCTCAGTGACACACTTGGCCAGTGTTGCTGTGATGGTTTTTTTCTTATTGCAAAAGACATCAAAGTCACTAGTGTGGAAGACTAGTTTTCTAGGATAGTAAATTTAAGGGAGTGCAAAAAAAAGTTTATCATGCAGATTTGCATGCACACACACACAAATGTACAAGCCACCTGTAATAAATGTTAAGACAGGCAGCTTTTATAATGGAAGAGGAAAGTCAACACAGCCTGCTTCCCGCTACCAGGCTAAAATGGTTATAAAAAGAAAAGTAGCACGAGGTGGGAGAAAGACTTGGATGTGTTTGCTAACTGGGTCAAGGCAAGTACAATAAACCCAATAAGCCCAAAGGCAGGCGGCAGTTTGACTGATGGTATGCAAACAGAGCAGTCAAAGACATAAATGAACATGAAGCATATGAGGCCTGAAAAAGGTCACAATCTACAATAAAATAGGTCCACATATCTAGTTTTTCCCCAGCTACTTTTGCGGGGAAGGATCAGCAGAAAAGGACAGACCTTCACAAGTTTAAGAGGAGCGGGGTGGGTTGGGAAAAGCAGGAAACTGGCCTGCTGAAGTTTACAAACAGAGCAAGGAGCCGGCTGCGAGGAAGGCTAAGCAGTGAGACAAACGCTTAGGCAATACAGAGGCCAGCCCAGAGGAAGAGGCTTGGCCTGTAGAGCATGGGAACAAAAAGAGAAGGTGGGAGAGAGAAAGGGAGAAAAGAGATGGGGAGAAAAGAAAAAAAACGCAAGACAAAATGAGATCACTATTGGCTTATGTTTGCTGGTATGACGTTAGGACCCAGACATCAGTAGTCATCCCAGTTTCCACTGATCTAAACTTGTATGCGCACACTCACTCTCCTATTTCGAGACGAGAGGACAGACTTCATCTTTATGCCGATGGCTTCCTGGAAACAATTCCCTCACTCACTTCATCTTTCCTTCCCTCATCTTCGCTCATCCACTACTCATCCCCTAAACTCAATCTCAAATGTCAAAAGGCCTTCTTTCTTTCTCTATTGATCCTTCCTTTCTCCCAACCATACCCCCCATCCACCCACTCCCCTTCAATTTCCTTCCTCCCCCCAACTGCTCCCTCTCTCCCTCCATCCCCTCTGTTCTCTGTTTGGTTTTGCACAGATGGCCGGAGCAGCTGAGCAAGGCCAGAGGGGGAAGGAGAAAAGGATCCGTGTATCCCAAACAACACATAAGAACAGATACACACAGCTAGTGCAACAGGCCACTGCTCAAAACAAGCAAACAGGCTGAGAGGGAGCTGACGGGTAGCTGCTGGGAGGGACTCATGGTCACAGGAAGGTTTTTAAATGCCACGAAATGTGGGTGGTTGGTCACAGATTTTACCAGAAGGGCAGGGTGGGTGATGAACAGGGAACGGAGCGAGGTCTGAAGCAAAAGATTTGGGTTTCATCATCTGCACTTGTCTTATTCAACATTTTAGGAAAAACCCTAATCTGCTTTTTTGCCTAAGATTAGATTTTAGGGATGATTCATAAAAGTGGATGTGGATGTGCAGTATTCAAATGCCAGGCTAAGAGTTTTTGGGTTTTTTTTGCAAAGCTGACAGAGCAGACTGGCTGCAAGATCCAGCTAGATAGTCAGACAGGGAAAAAAAACCATTATGCTACAATGGCGGTTGGGGGACCAAGCCATGAACAACATATTTGCAAACGTGTGCAATAAACTTGTGATCTTGTTGCTTTAAAGACGGGGACCAGGCCTGTAACCACTCATAGTTGGCTTCCATCTTCAAAGTGACTTTGGTACGTCAAGATGGCAATAAGACAACAAAAAGACAGAAAAGTCAGTCTGCTATCAGTTTACAATTGAACAGAGTCAAGTGGACACAATCTGTTTGCAATAATATGGTGATAACTGTGTTAAATCAGCAAAAAATGCAAATCCTTTTCATCTGCATACACAATCTTTCTCATTTAAAACTTTTATTCAGACTCCAGCAAGAACTCTATAGATTAGAAACAGAAATCCCACCACAAATAGAGTCTGCATAAAAAATATATGTGCTTGGCAACCTTGCTTTATAGTCAGTGTACAACACAACAAGTTGCCAACCAGTTTCCAGCTGTTCCGCTCATAGACACAGACTGTGCCAAAACAGACTGCAATATGTTGTTAATATGTCTGTGTTAATAATTAAGTCAGGTGACCGGTGGAATTTCCTTACAAGCAAAAGTGGTGTTAGGGGCGTCAAACTGTAAACTTCTGGGCACCTAACATCAATTTTTTGAAGAAACAACCATCTGATGTTATTTATTCTAAACCCTGCTCCACCAGGTGAAAAGTGTGCTATAGTAATATAACGTGTGCTGCTAAGAGTAGCAAGACAATACACTTTGCACTGAACACTTCCACATTTTGTTCAACAACAAAACAAAACCTCATTCAAATTGTCCCACTTCTAACCTTGGGCAGTTCCTTTGTTAACAGAAAGCCATGTGATCAGCTTTGTATATCTAGAGTTTCATTACCCAAACGTCAAGGCTTCATTTCAGAGTTAGGTTCATGTGTAAGTACAGAGCTAAAGTAGTCACAGCTAGTTTAGATATATCTGACAAAACAGCCAGACATATGTTTAATGTTTAAGTCTTCAGGTAATGACATCAGGTTCTTTATTAAATTGTTATATGTGAGCAGTTATTTTAGACCATTTTATTTTCAATTTCAGATTGTAGGTGACCTACAACATGAGAAACTACACAAAGAATCAGCAAGAAAACACTCCCTAGTAACAATTTTAGTAACAAAGTAACAAAATATTTGTTTAAAAAAAAGTAAAAGACAAAAGCCTGTTTATACAAAAATCAGTTCAATTCAAATTGAGTTCTAGTCAGCCACCTCAAGGTATATTGGGAGGTAAAGATCCTAAATAATACAGAAAACATCCCAACACACAGATGACTTGCTATGAGCAAACACTTCCTGTTAAAACTCCCATAAAACAGGAAGTAACGTCCAACAGAACCAGAGTCAGGAAGGGTTACGATGCTCGGCCACTTGGGTTACGGTGAAGGAGAAATGACCCCAAGAATACAAATCAGCAAAAAACATCCAATCATAAGCTTAAAATGAGATCCAGACCGATACATCCTTAGGCGAATATCAGCCTACTAAAAGATACTGATATCAGAATTTTTCACCTACAAAATCGGTGAAGATATTTTCTCCAAAATATAGTCAGGCTCTAATTAAAAGTGTCACTCTTGGCCCACTAATGACAGATGAGAAATATATAAAACATAAAGGGACAGATGAAACATATTGTAAAAACAATAAGCCACAATGCAGGATCTTGACATTCTGATCCCTTTAGCATTTTATTCAAACTCACCACACTGGTACTCCTTAATCTTTAATACAAATCTGGAATAGCTATTAACACTGTGACCTAACGTGACACCAAAGTCAACCAGGAAATAAGACTGTATCTAATCACTACTCCCTCCTCTCTGTTTCTCAGACTCTGGTGTGCAGTTTATGTTTGGTTGCCGCTCTTCCCACAGCAGACTACAGCATCTGGCCATGATCTTCAATTCACTGCTCCTCTCCAAATTGTGTGTGCGTGTTATAGAGGGAGATAAATCCTGAGTGCATGTTCACAGCCACAGGAACATTTCTCTTTCTCCTGCAAGTTTCCAGATAGCTGTGAGATTGTACTTGTTCCTGGCTCTTTGGCTCATACACCCTCCCTGCGTCATCAGGACCATCAGTCAATGGTAGGCATAAACAGGCTGGAAACTGAATGTATGTTTTTCCCCCCATTCGCTCTCAGAGAAACTGATGGAGTGAGGCATCCAGGCCACATTAATACACTATCGTGATTCCAGAAGCTAAATAAACAGAACTGAAGTTTAAGAGTTCATGTTTAGTTTGCTGCCAAAATGAAATTGCCTACTGGACCTTTAATACTCCAGTATCCTGTTAGTGTTTTGCTTTTTATTTGACCTGTCTTTTCATCAGCCTTTTCTTGCCACGTTCCTCCCCCTTAAACTCCTTGGCTTCCGTTTTTTCGGTTGTTTTTGGACTATTTTAAGAAATATGAACTCATTTATAAACTACAGTGTGCACTTTCCCATATTTAAGCCCTTGGGCTTAAACATTTCTGCTATACAGTCTTCCTCAATGTGTTCCAACAGCTTTACTATCCTAAATTTCAACCTTAATTAACGTGTCTCTTCCAACTGAAAGATCTTCATTGCACTAATGCTATTACAGGTTTTCATTAAGCCTAATTAAATTAAAAGCAGTTATAATTTTCCTGTTGCTGTGGGGGCAACATTTTAAAGGCTAAGCGTGATAAATGAGCCTTTTCAGACCTTGTAAAATAATGTTACAAAACACTGGACAGCTGTTTTCTACAAGCTGGGTATAATAGTTGATTTCCATTTGGTGTGGTCCTTTTTTTATTTATCTACGGAGGATCTTATTGAGAATGCCTCCTTTCCAACTTCATGCTTTACATTTCCTCCGATGACACACATTTGTACAGCTGTGAGGCATA